CTATCCCTTGAATCATGCTAACCTTGTACTATGAATGTGCTCTGGATGCATGCAATGTGTGTTTGGGGAAGGGGGCGGGATACCACACTGCTTCCCTTAACGCCCCCCACCCCGGGGCTGATATGAAAAGGTAGCCCTCACACGTGCTTATCTCTACCACCATCAGCCTGAGAACAAGACAGTCTCAGCTGAACTGGCCCTGGGCAAGAAAAGACTCTCCTCCTGCCAGGTCTCTGCTACCACCACCAAAGCCCATTGCCTGATGTGGAAGGAGAGACTGGTAAGGGGATCCGTTCCTTTTTTTAAAATGTAATTTTATTAAGACTTTTCAGCATACAATAAAAACAGAAACAAAACAAAGAAAGAAGCAAGCTGACAGAGAGATAAGAATAATAACAGAGTGTATGTGTGTGTGTGTAAAAGTGACTTCAAACTATCCATTTTTCAGTTGTGTCGACAAAAAATTCTCATAATAATCCAGTATTCAATCCAGAATAACATTCAGTTATTACTCCCTCTGATAGCCGATGTTTTCCTGATATTAAATCCCAGCACCGCAGGTTCATTCCTTTTCCTTCCCATCCAAGAATTCCAAAAGTGTTTGTACAGTTATTATAAGTAAGCCTTAATCTTCCTCCAGTCCAATCTCACAACTTTACCTCCAGACTTTAAAAAGACATTCAGTCCTTATTATTTATATAGTAAGACAATATTCATAATTGATTAAAAATTATGTCCCTCAATGTCTTTGCTGCCCAGGCCTGCCAACTCTATGGGGCTGAGGCCTCTACAGCTCCCCACCTCAATGTCTGCTGGAATGGGACTCAGCCCCCTCCCCACAGGAGGCCTGGTGGGATGTCACCCCCCAATGTTGGTTGCAACTCAGCTGCTGCCACCTTGCTTAGAGGATGGCACTAGCAGCATAGACTTGGGAAGGCAAAATACTTTGACTTGATGGGTCTACTGGCGAGTCTAACTGCTGACTCAGCCTTATGCTACACTTGTGTGTATTATCAGGACTTGCTAACAAATTATGTAGACATTAATTCACAGCCCCTAAAGATGTATCCATATCTTCCAATTCCATTTGGCCATGGGCTTCCATCTTTGTCATTTAGAAAAAAGTTGATTTCCCACTTCCTGTATTTCCATCCTTTTTTCAAATGTATTGCAGGAGCCATTGCCACTTTCCCCCCTCAGATGATTTCAAATTGTACACAGAGTCCTCCTTCCAAGAATTCCATCTCCTTCTTCAACATCATAGCTCCAGCATTACATTGTTCCACTCCTTCCAGCACTGATACTACTGCAAGAGGCTTAGTGGCTTTTCCCCCCAAAGGAGGACCCAATCCTCACACATGATGGCAATGGTGCCTTGGATGAAGGACTTCATAGTGAGGTGGGGTGGGGGTTCTGGAAAGAACACCCCCTCCTCAGACTTACTTACCCTACAGCTCTTCACCCCAACCACTGTTGCACAGGGGGAAAGCATATTTCAGGCACAGGCAAGCTGAATGAAATGCTCTGTAGAAATTATGTAAATTAGGCAAGCTCACCTATTTTGCAGACTTTGCTCTCCCAAGGAGGGGCAGGGATCTAGAGGGCACCCAAGCCCCATCCTCAGAGGACCAAAGATCTGAACAGCCACATGGATTGCAATCCACATGGATTGCACCACACGGATTGCACCACATGGATTGCACCAGGAATTTCCAATGAATCTTTCACAAAGCTTTTATAGCAATGAAGAGCAAGCATAACAACTGGCATTCCTATTAATGCTGTGGTTGGTTCAGAGGGCTTCACGTATGCAAGCATAATTCTTGCAACCACCCCGAAAGGTAGGTCAGTATTGTTATTATCCTTGTCTTGCAGATGTGAAGCAGACACCAAGAGGCTGGCCACAGACTTGCCTAAGGCTTTCCTAGTGAGTTCATGGCACAAACAAGATCTGAACCAGGGGATTGCTTGGCCTCTTAAACGCCCTTAACAGCTCTGGACTTGCCAGGGCCAACATTCTTAAGAAGCTTGTTTCTACACCCTAGACCACATACTGCATGGAAAAAAGGAAGCTCCCCACCCAACATCCCTGTCAGAGAGCCTATTCATAGGCTACTCCAATCCAATGCACAAATCACAACTAAAGAATCCCTGAGAGATGTCCATCCCTCTGTTAAAAAACTTCCAATGGAGGACAGTTCACGACCTTCTGAGGTAACCCATTCCACTGTCAAACAGCTCTTACTCTCAGAAAGTTCTTCTTTATGTTGAGACAGAATCTACTTCCTTGAAATTTGAATCCACTGGTTCAGGTCCTCCCCTCTGAAGCAGCAGAAAACAAGATCACTCCATTCTCCATGTGACAGCCCTTCAGATACTTGAAGATGGCTATAATATCACCTCTCAATCTTCTCTTCAACAGGCTAAATATCCATAACTCCCTCAACCACTCCTCATAAGGCCTGGTTTCCAGGCCCTTTATCAATTTGCTTGTCCTCCTCTACAGAGACTCCAGCTTGTCAATATCCTTCTTAAACTGTGGTGCCCAGAATTGGTTATGGGACTCCAGGTGGGGTCTGACCAAGGTAGAGTATTATCTTGCTCCAATTAGCACCAAGCATTAAAGCTATACAATCATCCTGGTTGTCCTAGAAACCACAACCGACTCTGAAGTACCACCTCACATAAGCACAGGATGCCTTCCCTCCCACTGCCCTGATTCCTCCACCCACCCAAGTCAGTTGTCCTCCCCAGCTACAGTCAGGGTTACGCAAAGCCAGGCAGGTGGCAGGTTATTCTTGGGCCCATGGGGAGCGAACAGTTAGTCAAGGGCAGCAGTAACACAGCAAACAGTACCGGGAAGTCGTTAATTGCTTGTATGGACCAACGCCGTCTGGCAGAGCAAGGCGACATCTGTGCATGAGAATGTTACGCCCAGGAGGGGAAGGAGGGAAGAAGGTGAGCCGTTGAGAGAAGGAGAAGAGGAAGAAAAGAACACAGAGCTGAGAAACTCATGAGCCAAGGGGCCCCATGCTGCACCAAGGGCAGAGGCCAGCTGTGGACCAGTCAGAGATGTGCCATTCCAGGGCAGCCAAGGGCCTTCTTATTCTGATTCAGCACAGGAAAGATGGAAAGGTCTGCCCTCTAGAGGAGTGACACAGTGCTATCTACTCTGAGAGCCAGACCTCTCCCAAGTTGCAGACAAAAGCCTGCAATCTGCCATTGCAGGGGCTGAACCTGTGGCCCTCTACAGACAAAACATACTCATGACCACTTCCCACAAAAAACACAACAGAAGCAAGTTTCCCCAAGATGTCATACGAATCCTCGCTGGTCCTCATATCAATCCTCTATTCCAGGGATAGGGAAACCTGTGGCACTCCAGATGTTACTGGACTCCCAACTCTCCCATTAGTCCAAGCCAGCATGGCTAATGGTCAAGGGAGATGGGAGCAGAAGTCCAACCACAGCTGGAGGGGCACAGGTTCCCCACCCCTGTTCTTCCTTCACTGCGTAAAGGGAAGTGTCTCATGCAACTAGCGCTGCTGACAGTGACACTGAGGTCAGAGGCCTTGAGTCCTCTGAGTCCTATAAGACACAGAGCAGTCAAATACACAGGCAGGAAGGTCCTGCTGGCTACACCCCTCAGGTGGTTGTTTCCCTTTCCTTATCTCTTTTCCCCTGTGGCTAATTTAACCCACACAAATTCCTAGGAAATAATTAGCTGCTAAGAAAGGGAGCTCAGATGACCCATCAGTGCGCAGCAAATGCAAGGCATCTAGATGTGAAGAGCCGTCAACCTGTGCCAATCCCTCAACCTATCCAGGCAGCATGGATAGCTTCTGGGGTGCTGGCATTTCACACACTGCTTCCCAACAATATGCTTCCTATGATTCAGATTAAATACTCAATTACTGACCCAAGAGCACAGGAATTTCCAACAGGGAAAAGCCCTGTGCAACTCTGTTTTATTTCATCACTTTAAAACCACCCTGTCAGTTGGGCCTCCCAGTCCCTGTGCATTCCAATCCCCAAAAGGCCCCAAAATAGGCAGGACTAGATAAAGCTTCAAGATCAAAAGACTCCTTCCAAAATGAGACCCCTGCAAACTCAGCCTTCAGGGAACCTGGGTAGCTCAAAGTGGCACATGCCACGCTGGGGAGAGGGTCTCTCTCTTTTGTGAAGCTGCTAACTGCTGATAGCACTGGGAAAGTTGAGCCTAGTGCGACCAGCTCAAAGAGCCCCAAAGCCCTGATTCTAAGTGCATCAGCTCAGTTAAGGTTTTTTTTAGCTCACTCTCAAGATCGTCATTTTAGGCCACCGTACAGTATATGATGGCTTGGGGGAACTCCAAGACTGCCAAGAAGGTAGTCACAGCTGTGTCCTATGGGGTTTCATTAAATAAGGGCCATTCAAGCTCTTCCAAAGTGGGCAGGAACTAGATGTGGTAAGTCTGCCCTGGGACACCTAACCAATTATCTCTGGCAAGTGGAGGTGCTCAGCATGAGCCAGTCAACAAGCCCAGCTCTCAAGTAAGCGGGGACCAGGAGGCAATATCGTAGCCTTTGCAACCCAGGTTGGCAGATTTCCATGCTCCCTGATGGACCCCAGTGTGACCCAAGTGTAAAAAGCCTGCCCTCTTGTGCCACACAGTCAGTTGCTTGCACACAGAAATCCACAGAGCTGTCAGGCACCCCTATAGAATTCTTGCAAGGTCCACCCAAGGACCACTCAGATGCATAAAAAACCTAGCAGCTGGACAAGTCCCTAATTGCAGATAGCTGGCCTTTTCCAGTAAGTGAAGGCATAATGCTAAGAAAGGAAGAATCAAGAGAGAGCCAGCAGAACAGCTCATCCAAGGTGTCTCCTTGGGCTTCTATTACAGGACAGGCAAATCCTGCCCTCCACCCTGCAAGAGTGCTGTTAAGGGGAGTGATCTCCAACAAGTGTAAATGGCTGGAAATGAGGCAGCGAGGAAGCTCCACAGACCATACACTTACCCTCTCCTTATAGTAGAAGGAACTGATGGAGACCTGCTCCTTCTCGTTGCGTGTTGGGCTCCCACCGTACAAGCGCAGGTTGCCAGGGGTCTCTGTACGGATCTTCATGGGAGTGATGAGGCCACTATGGTAGGCTGAGAGGGCCGACAGGGATCTGAAGACAAGATACGCATTCCTGAAAGCTGAGCTAACAGTCAGTCCCATGCAGCATCACAGGAAGCAGGGACTGAGGCAAAGGGCACAGCAGAAGCATAGGAAACTGTCATAAACTGAGTCAGGCCGTTGGTCTATCCCAGAGCTTGCCAAAGGTTCAGGGCCCGTGGGCACATCTGGAAACCTGAGAAAGTATCACGGGAGCATGACACACACCACAACCTATGCTATACAATAGGATGTTTCTTTCAAGACTAAATTCTCAGCAGTGGAGGGGACCCTGTGGACACCTGGGAAGGCCTCCGATGGTGCATGTGTACCTGTGGGCACCATGTCGGTGACCCCTGTTCTATCTAGCACACTACAGTCTACTCTCGGCGATAATGCTTTCCTAAAGTCTCAGGCACAAATTCTTCCTGGCCCTGGTACCCGAGAGCCCAAGGCATGAACCTGGGACCTTCTATGGGCAAAGCTTATGTGTTTCTACTGAGTCATGGGTCATTCCAATAGCCAAAACTGAAACTCCACCTCCCTCATTCAGAGAAGAGGAAGAGGAGCCTGGGCATTCCCATGAGCACACCTCTTGCTGCTGAGATGGCTTCCACAACAGTCATTTCCTGCAGCTACCCACGTACTTACCGGGGGGTTGGTTCTGTAGGGGAGACTGCGCGGTGCATCGTCATGGGACGCGTGAAGTACACCAAGTACCCTGTGAAGATGAGAGATCCTGCACTGAAGAACATAGCTTCCAAAGTAAAAGTTGGTGCCACTTCTATAGTTAGAAAGGATGGTTATTTAAGTATCTTCCCACAGGAAGGCAGCTTTAATCAGGGCTGTGTCTATTCTTGCCAAGCACACAATGCAGTACTGCAAAGCCTGGGGTCAAGGCCAGCCAAGATCTCCAATGGCCAGGGGCTTTGACCCCTTGCTGCACTTTTCCTTTCCCCCATATCTTGCAGACAGAATCAATCACACAGTTCAAGTAAAGGCATATCTGTCCAACCTGCAACTTCTATACTAGATGTCAAACGCATGGCTCATATTTAGCCTAGGGACACATAGCAAGCCAAGCATTGTCATGCTCCCACAACTGCCCAGAAATCAAAGGTGGGGGGTAGGGGGAGGTTGCACTCTAGTCTAGAATGCTGTCAAGACTTCCTGCCCACAGCTGACAAATGGGTGGGGAATTTGCTCCCTGAGCACAGAAGTCTGAATACCATTGCTCTAATTTGGGCTTTGTTCAGGGTTAGTTTCTTAAGCTGACTTTGCTAAAGATTAGGCAATTCTACCCATTTTCTGCTTATCTTTTCAAGAAAGAACTGTTTTATAAGAATGCAGGTTTTACTCAGCAAATCTATGGAGCAAATTTGTTAAGGGCTTAAAATTGGTGTTTGGTAGGATGCAACTCCTTTGGCCAGTGTAGCACCCAAGCCTTCCCTACTCCCTGACAAAATCATAAATCTTATTCTGTCTCAAACAGGTTTTCTTTTTTTAAAAAATACATAGAAATTTGCTCCCTTGCTATATACATAGTTTAGTAAATAAACTGGAGGAAAGGGAACCTAATCCTGTAACTGGAAACCTAGAATATGCACTCAAAGTATTTATTTATTTTTTTCCAAAGCTGCCAATTCTATTCCACTCCTGGAAACTAAGATTTTAAGACAAAGATTTCTAGATGCCCAGAATCATGTCAATTTGTTTGTAGGGTTGTCCACAAACCGCGTAAATTGGCTCCCTCATTTTGAGGCCAGGTTTTCTGATGCTGCAGCGACAGCACTGTAGCAACAGCTTGCTGCGCAGGCAAAGGAAAAGGGGGTGAGGGCACAGTGATGTACCCTTGCCACACTCACTCACACCCTTCTCCTCTTGGTGGAAAGCTCTGATAAGATCCGAGCTGGGAGCCCTGACCATTTCCCTGCCCTTCTCTAGCTTCACATGCTTAAGAGTCTACCAACCTGCCCCACAAAACCTGGCTCCAGAGGTGCGTGGAAATGGGATGTTGGAATCCTGATAGGAGCCGTAAGCATTCGAGACCCTGGGGAATGTTGGCAAGGGCGGCGTGACGGAGTTTGGGAGTGCATAGGGGTTGCTGGAGGAGCTGTCCTCCTGGTTCTGGAACAGAAAACAGATTAAGAGTTGCATGCATGGAGCCCATCATGTTGACAACTGGGCTTTCGTACTGAAACAACAACATGCCAATATGTCAGGGAGGGGGCATAGCTCTAAGGTAGAGCGCATGCGTTGCAGGCAAGCAGTCCCAGGTTCTATCTCTGGCAACCCCAGTTAAAGCTATCCCAGAAAGCTCTTTCTGTCTGACGCTCCAGAGGGCTGCTGCCAATCACAGGAAGCAAAATGGGGATGGATGGACACAGTATGAGCTGGGATCAGGCACTTTCCTACATTACCGTGCAGGTCTGCAGGGTTAGCCAGGTCCCCTTTTAAACTTTCCCAGTTTGCCATGTTTAAAGCGAAGGCACATGGGAGTAGCATTACTACTCTACCTAAGGATAGTAGATTTATCAGGCAGAATTGAAAACAACCAATTAGACAAAACAGACTTTCAGCCGGTGTTGAGTTCATATATATATTTATGTTATACTATCCTGTTGTTTAACTGCAACATTATGTATTACTGTTTCATATACATGTTCTTAAGAGTTCTATACAATATCATTTTCATATTTTGGGTCTTTTTGTCTTGCATGCACTGTTATCTAACGACCCTTATCACTGTGCATTTTTAACTGCAAGGTACAGCAGGGCTGCTATTCCCCCTGGCCTGCAATCACGCTACTCATGTGGGAATTGAGTGTCTTGTCACCACACACAGAAACTCAACGCTAGTCAGCTTTCTGCTTTTAAAAGGAAAAAGCATAGAGCCAATGGAGAGGTGTCTCTTAGGACCGGAAGGCAGCAGAATGAACCCAGATACATCATTTGTTGTTGCCATTTTCTATTGTGGTCCGTAAGGAGGCTCTCTTCCTGAATCAGAAAGCATTTGCCACAGTGGTAGAAGAACAAGGCCAAAGAAGAACACTTTGTGGCCAACCAGGGCTTAGTTCTTAAGGCTTAAGGGCACTTCTAGATGGGGATTTCAAAGCACTTCCAAATCCCACAGCAGAGGTGCACAGAAGTGCTGTTCCTGGTAGCCCAGTCCTCAGTCTGCCGCAGAGCATACAACTTGCATGACTGGTGTCTGGTTTACAGAAAGGAGAAGAGGGCAGTGGAATATGCCCCCTTTGGGTTTGAGGAACATTTCCTGTCAGTGGCACAAAATGTTTTGCAAAGCAGGAATCAGAACATTCATAAGATGAGAAACCTGCTACCCAGCCTCGGCAGCAACCCACATGCCAGTGACAAGGGCCAGCCAGCTTGAGAATCAGAAACCCTCCCTGCAGATAGGCAAATTTTGGCACCTCTGCCCAATGTGGTTTCTATGCTTCTGCTTTAGCAATACAGTGCTAAAAACTGAAAGCATGGAAAGCTACTATGGACAAGTTTTTAAATCTGTTGTAAACCACTCCGGATTTGTAAAGAAAAAAAGGGGTACTAGGAGGTTTTTTCCAAACAAAGGTCAAGGAGCCTAGGGCAAAATGAGAAGACAGGTTGGCGCTGAAAGCCATTTCCTACCACAACAGACTCCAGACAGGAGACCAACTGGCGCAGGCAGGGCTCCAGGCAGCACTGATTCCGTTTCACCTTCTGCATTGAAGTGTCCTTCAGGATCTGCAAGAGACCCCCGCATACTATGTGAATGGTTTGGATCATGAACACACACACACACACACACACACACACACAGCTTCTCCACACACCCAAACAATGATCAAGGCTCCAGGACTGAGGGTTCCTTGGGACAGAATTCATGGGTAGGCAGCCAATGCGGAGACCCTCCTTGTTCTCAGACCTCCACAGCCTTCTGCCACCCCACCTGCCAGAATTGCTCGCTTGCAGACCCACCTTCAGCAGCTTGGCCTTCATGGTGGAGGGGATGGTGGTCTGATTGACAAACTGGAAGGAGGGGGCAGCATTGTTGGGATACTGAGCAGGGAACATCACCAGCATCTTGACCCTGTGGTTGCTGCAGTGCACGGAGACGGTGCAGCTACGATTTACAGCATCCATCTGCCAAAGCCAATGGAGGAACAGAGGAGATGTTAGGAGAATATTTTGTTAGTGGATCCAATTGCACTGACCTACTTCAAGGAACAGTGGAGGTCCGCAAGGGGCCTGGACCCTGCAATAATCATCATCCTCAGTGGTGGCTGGTACCCATTGGAACTGGATTCTATTGGTGGAAGGCAGGGAGACCAACAGTAGGAGACCAGAGCAAATGGTGGGCTGAGCCAAGTGGTTCTGGAATTGTCCCCATCCTGCTTTCTGCTGTGTTCTGTAAGGTCAACACAGAGACTAAGGAGGAAGTTGACAGCCAGTGCTAGACCAGTTGTAAGAAAGAAGTTGGCTGGGGGGCTGACTGACTGTGGGAGACCGAGCTTGGTGGGGCAATGCCCTATTCACCCTAATAAACCAGCCTCTCTTGATCATCACTATTGTTATTATCATAGAAGTTTCCAAGTTGCATTTCTTTTTGTTTGTAAACTGCTGCTATTGTTGTTGCTACGCTTAAAGTACGTACTTAGCAAATAATTTAAGTGAAGTTCTTGCCTGAAGGCTCAATCTTTGTTTTAACAAATGTATCTTCTTCCTTAGACTTCAAAAACAGATTTTGTATACTGCTTAAAGCAATTTTGGAAAAATAAATGAACTGTATTTTATAATGAAACAAGCAAATTCACCACCAGAGCAGTCTAAAAGCAGATGGGGCTCAAGGTGAGGATGGCTGAAAACAATGTTACAGATCTACTCTGGGCAGACTCACTAAACTCAGGGGGCCTCAATGAGTCATGACCATTAATATCAATGGGTCTATTCTAAGTAAAAACACTGGATGCAACTCAGTATTTGGGCTGGCTGCTTCCACATTCTCTCCCCCCTCCCCTGCTTTCTGCTTAAGCGATACTCCAGAAAGTGAGGGCATCATGGATGCAATCCTGCCAGGGAAGTCTCTGCAAACCATTCCCTTGGCCTGTCAAGGAGAGTGTCATGGCCCAAGAAAGACAGCCTGCCAGAAGAGGGCAAATGATCCCCGCCCAGCAGAGTATTGCGAATTCTACCCTCTCAAGCAACAGCACACCCAACAGGAAGACATGGCTCCTCCCTCACCTACCTCCATGTTGACGTTTCGGATCTGCACGTTGATCAGAGAGAATTCCTGCTGCAAGGTTTGAGGCAGCCCCAGCTGGTCCAGCTTTTTCCCCACCAGGAGACTTTTCTGGGAGTCTTCTTTCAAGGCTGTCAGGGAGAGAAGGCAGTGCTGAGGATCTGTGCCCTCCTCCTCCCATCCGCAGTCAGAGAAAGTGGAGAGAGGAGGGGCAACAAGCTGAAAGTGCCAGGCATTTGGGAGTGATCAGGAGAGAATTAGAGTGGAATTGGACAGGGGCAGACAGGAGGATTATTCCTTCAGAGAAGTCTGATGGACTCTTTGAGAACTTTTCCTCCTGAGAGCAGCATTCTGTCAGGGTCTACATAACACCAGCAGTGGGTAAAAAGTGGGAAAGGGTGGAGCTAGACCCCTTTCCCTTTTTCTACCACCCCCTCTGTTCATCCCCCTCTCACACTTTCTGCCACCTCTTCTCCTCTTTGCCACCTGCCTAAAATGAGTCAAGGGCTGCCAAGCCCTCTTCTAGGGTCTAAGTCCAGATATGCAACTCAGTTGCCACCTGCAAAGAGTGAGCAACTCCTGTAGGCAAGTCTTTGTAACTCAGGACAGAGCCCTTCCTGATGTTGTGGAGCCTCACCTGTGCAACTCCCACCCATTCGCCTGCTCTCTTTTATGCTATTCAAACACCCACTGAAGACTCTGTTCACTAACAAGTGCCCCTTTCCCTCCCCCCCCCCCACCAGAGCATGTTGTGTAGCATCCACTGAAGACCAATGGCTTAATTGCTTTCAGCAACTTATGTACCATCTCTGCTTGTTCAGCACAGATCTGTTGCTGGTAATTTTCTCTGTAGACATACTGCCTTTGAATCTGTGGTGGTGGCGGCTGGTGCCCACTGTGGCTGTCAGGGTGGAGGGCAAGGCAGCTACTGAGAGATAGAGCCAGGGTTAGCAGGGTTGACCCTGCGACAGGGCCTTTTCAGTAATGGCTCGCCAGCTGTGGAGTGCCCTCCCTAGCTAGGTGCACCTGTCTCCAACATTATTAATTTTCAGGAGGAATTAGAAAGCATGGCTGAAGACCACTGTTCCTAGCAACCTTGAGATCACTGGATGAAAGAATGTTTTTAACTAACTACTTTTAGATGTTCTTAATTGTAATTGCTTTTGGAGTGTCTTAACTGTTTTAGAATGCTATTGCTTCCATTTTTGTTTTTAAATTCAATTTATGAATTAATAATAGTAATACTGGGAGGGAATGGGACATGGTTGAGGGAGGCATCCTCAGAGCGGCATGCAAAACAAGGCACAGAAGAGTCTGCCAGCTCCACGAACCACCCAGGCACTCCCTCGCCTCACCTTCCTCTTCTCCATGGTTGGCATTTTGCTGGGGCTCAGTCTCTTGGGAAGGCAGGGCCTTGTCTGGCTCTGGCAGGAGAGAAATCCCATCGATGAGCTCCTCCACCCCTTCCAGGAGGTCATTGGAGCACAGCTGGAACAAGAAGCAGCAAATGCAGCAAAGCAGAAACAGAGCAGGCCATGGATGCAAACATGGTGCAACTGGAAAACATGCCCACCCCAGTTCCAAGTTGGCTAGGATTTCTGCGCCATCCCTGTCTAGAGACCTCACTGGCTTCACGCTGCTTGTTCCAAGCTCCCACATAACCCTCGCCCCGGTTCATATAACCTCCACACCAGCTTTTCCCCGCAAGCTCCAATATGCTCCCTCTCCTGGCAGCATTTCAAGATTCTCACAAGAGAAACCTCACCTGCATTATTGCTTCCTTGCAACCATCCCAAAGGGATCACCACCCACACTTTGGGAAACCCTGAGCCTTGCTTGCTTATAGGTTTATCATCTGTAAAGGTGGACAAAACTGTACAGCTTCCCTGTTGGCACACCTTGCATGCCCCCTTCCTGTTGGGGGCAAGGGGAGCTTACACTGCAGTTTGAGGAATGCTGGCTTAGAGGAAAGGAGATACAAGGACACAGTTATGTGTTTCACAACTGCTGAACCCCCACCACCTCCACCACCAAAAGAAGGCAGGCAGCTCTTGACTAGGCCCCAAAGGGAAGGAGAAAAGGCCCAGGTTTTGGTGAGGCAGCTGTAGGCTAGATTGAGGGAATGCTTCCTGACTCTAAGAGCAGTGGGATGAAGACGTTGACCAAGGACACTAGTGTAATGGTCCTTCCATGCTGATGTTTAAGCAGGTGGTGAACTTCTATCAGAATTAAGAGATTTTGCCAGTGCAAAGGGTTGATCCAGATACTCTCAAGGTGGGTTCCACTTGCTTGATTTATTCTGCTGAAACCACCATAAAGTCAGGAACAGGAAAGAGGTTTGATACAGAAGCACAGAAAGCAAACCCCACAACAGGAGATGGACCCAGGACAACAGGTACAGGAGGTACCTGACAATTTAGCTGGCAAATAGATGTTTTCTGGTTTCTGACATCTGCAACTTTGAGCAAAACAAAAAGGAAAGACTATGGCACCTGTCACTTACCCGTTGCAGCTGGCAATCAACTCGCCACATCCGAAGTGTCTGATCTCGAGACCAGGTGACCAGCTGGTAGTCCTTGGATCCTGAAAGGCATTTCAGATTAAAGAGTTTAAACTCTGGCTCTTTTGAGATGGTCTGATATTTTGAAGGCGTATCTCTGTGCTCTGCTTGAGATGTTTTTCTTTGAGGTGGACTTAATCATTCTAAATGCTTGGCCCACATTTTTGTACTTTTGCTCTATCAAGGGTGGGGGAGAGGGAGAAGGGTGAATTTAGAATTATCTTTGTATGATGTCTGGCAATGTTGGGTTTTGCTTGTAGACCCACTTCTGTATGTACTCTTTTGGTTTCACCCGTTTCGAAACTCAATAAAAATCACATACAAAGAGCCAAACCAGCCCATGTCCCTTTGATATAAAAGGAATGGGTAAGTTGAAGTCTGTGTCAGCTTAAACCCAATATTTGTGCCACAAGTGCCCAAGATCCTTTCCCTGCTTGTGTCATGCATGGCATTTTGTTCTGCATAGTTAGACCAAAGTTCTCAATTTCTTTTGGCCATCACAGATTTCCACACACACACAGTTGCAGACTGATGGGGGGGGATCTCTTATGGTTTACTGCAATTTAATTTTAAATGAACTAGTTGAAGAACAGAAAGACATGACACAGAGAGGGAAGTCAGAGAAGACACAATGCAATTGAAAACACACTGCCTGAAAAGAGCCAGAACGGGCTTTAAGCTGCAAAGCCACCTCTGTGCTTTGTGGGCCAGACAGCCAGCAGGCACACTGAGGCCACTATGAGAAGGACGCATCTGTCACACACCTTCCTTCTGCTTCCGCCACTGGAATTCTAGCACAACATCATCGTGCCCCACAAAGGTGTGGACTGGCGTGTTCAGGTCAAAGACATTCCAGAGGAGGAGGCTGTTCTCTCTCCGCAGCTGGGGCACCATCACTGTCACCAGTCCATTGCTGAAAGGCTAAAAGAAGTCACAGAGGAAGGTTGGAGGTTCATAAACTCTGAAATGTTTCTCAGTTGCCCTTTCACCACCAAAACAAGTTACAACATGGCAATACACATGCATCTTTGTAATGTGTGAGTGATCACATCCGAAATACCTGACAGTTAGCAGAACACCCCTGGGTGTGTGCCCAGCTCTTGTGCTAATTAACAGTGCCAATGTATCAAACCTCAGTGATTTTCACAAGCTTTATTCCTTATGGCTCTTGGGTGGAGAGTGAAGCAGGCTGCAGTCTCAAGTTGTTCCATGCTCTTCATTACTGTTCTTCTCTCTGCCACCTCTGCTACTTCCTACTCCACCCATGAGGCAGAGAAGAAGAGGGTCTTACATCATCTTAGTTGTAAACATGTGAACCTAGGAGTGTTGGAGGGTTGTTTTTTGCTTGGGATATATTTGTATGAAGGAGATACACAAACACCTTAGATTAAGTTTGCAAACTTAGAAGAGTCATTCCCACTGCAAGGGAGAAAAGGAAGAAAGCCTCTTTTAAGACATCCCTGCTGAGATACATATGTCCATCACCTGACAACAGATAAATATGCTTTTTCTCTTTGAACATTTGCCTTACCAGCTTTCTCAAGTTGGCTCTGTCCTTACCGTGTATCTGGCTTTCCAGACAGGAACCTGACATGCCAGGATGTTGAGGTATTTTCGGGGTTGTCGGTAATCCCAAAACTTCAACGAAAGAGATAACAAGCCAGTTCAGGAGGAGGAGGAAGAGGATGCTTACCAGCAGCAACATACACACACTTGGGAGATCACAGCACAAGAGCACTACAACATGGCCAGAGTGGCAAGGACTTCTGGCCTTCAGTAAGTGTACATATGCTATTTGGAATAACATCCCACTGAAGGACTGGGGTATTCATAAAGGATTTTTAGTACCTGGGCTCCATGTATCATTTGAAGGTACAAACCACCCCTGGCTTGCCCACAAACCTCACCCATCACTCCCCTGTCAATCACACTAAGAAAGGGGAGCAGAGGTCATCCTTTCTATTGGCAGGACTTTCTAGCAGTAGTAAGACATGTGCATATCTGAAAGAAGCCTCCTGGCTACAGAAAACACAGCTGTAACATCTTGGGGTTTTCCTGGTTCTGGTCGCCAGAAACCCAGAAGGCACCTGAAGCTGGAAATGCTTTTTAATCAACACAAGAATAGACAGCTGGGGCCCTCCTCAGAGGAAAAAGCCCTTGTCACCACCATTAATGTACCGGTAAATATGTTCTGCGGAGGGCTATCCTTGAAAACAGTCTGGAAACAAAATGCTGCTGCCCTCCTCTTGCTAGAACTGGGCCAAAGACACAGCTAAGTAAGAGTAGTGCACTCAGTACACCACCTCTCTGAAAGCTACCAGGTATAATTAAAAAATGAAAGCAATGACCCATAAAGTCCTATAAACTGCCTTAAGCTATGATGCTTTCAAGCAGGGATGGGGAATGCCTGGCCCTGCAAATGTGGCCTGACTTCGCCTCTCATCACCCCTGTTGGCCACATTAGGCTGGGGCTGATGGGAGCTGGAAACCAACTACACTTGGAGGGCCTCAGGTGAGTCACCCCTGCATTAGGGGAAAGGTTATGTTATGCCAGTATGTTGCAGTGGTTAAGAATGTTGGGTTGCAATCTGGGAGGCCAAGGTTCAAGTTCCCAGCCAGCCATGAAGCTCATTTTGACCTCTCAGCCTAAGCTACCGCACAGGGTCACTGCACATGGATGGAACTTCACAAATATAAGAACACACACAAAAACAGGCAGATCCAGCTTTTGCAAAACAAAATGCAAAGATGCCCAAAGACTGCAATGATTTTTTTAGCCTGTGGCAGTGTCACAAATTGTGACATGCAGCAAGGAGTATGGGAAAGTAGTCATGGAAAAAACTGGTTGCTTAATCACCAGGACACCTCTTCCCTCAAAATGGGTTGGTGCCCACACATACCCTCCATTCATTTCCCAGTGGCCCCCAATGGCTGTGAAGACTGGCAGGGACCAGCACAACTGGAACTCTCCACCTGCCTGGCTGGTGAAGTTCACATTTCAGCCAGTTTGAAAGGTAAGCGCCATGTCAGAACTGGGCTTAAGGGCCCTCAAAACCCAGCCCCACCCGCCCACCTACCCTGACAGAGTTGTCCTGGCTGGACGTAGCCAATATGTTCTCATTGTCTGGGTGCCAGTCCAGGCCATGGATTTTAGAGAGATGAGCAGCCAAGTACTCCACCGCAGTGCCAGGTTTCTGCAAGAAGAGATTTCATTTGAAAGCTTGCACAAGAGATGACCACAACCATCTCCCTTAGAGGGGCAACAGTGACTCACCCGCCTGTCCCAAATGCGCACATCCCCGTCATGGCTGGTTGCCAAGCAGTGGGCATTCTTCTTATTCCATTTTACCTGGGAGGCACCAGCTGCAGAAGGAACAGAGCACACACACAATTTAAAAGAACACCAACATGCCAATAGGTTGTACGGTCAGGTGGGTATGACGACGACACAGCAAATGCAAGTGAGATGTCAAGTCAAGCCCAGCCTGGGTATTATATCTTGCTGGGCACAAATAATTGACAACGAATAGGGCAAGAGCTTTCAAAAATGGAGTGGTCATCAGAGGCGTAGTACAGAATGCTGCAGGGTGCAGCACAGCCACCCAAGAAGGCCAGCCCAGGGCACCAGTCAAGAACCAAGCCAGCTCATCTGCAGCCTACTGATGCAGCAGGCAACTGTCTGGGCAAGTGGGGCATGGGTCAAATTTGAAAAATAGGTTATCGCAGGTATAGGCAAAAGGTAGATTGGGCTCTACTGGAAGACTCCTTGGTGATTTGCAGCAGATTGCCAAGAAGCTCTAGATCACAATGCCTTAGCAAGAACACCAACAAAATGTCTCCCCTGCCCTGTCCTAAATTATGCTGCTGAAATAAAGTCTGAGTAAGGCAGAAGTTGACACTTTATGCTAGCCTCTCCCAAGCTGGTGCTCTCCACATACTTAGGGCTACTACTCCCACCCGCCACAACCATGCTAGTTGGGGCTGATGGGAGTTGTAGGGCATGACATCTGGAGGGTGCCAGGTTGAGGAAGGCTGCTTAATACCATTGCCAGATCTGCTACTGCCTGCTCCAATAGTGGCAGGCATGCCACAGGTTGGACACCTTGTGGGCTACTGGAAACCAGTGCCAAGACCTCTTCTTTGCAGGGCACTTAACACCAACTACTGAGTGAAATATTATGCCAATATTTCAAATTCCACCTAACCAACTGGTACTTACCGACGGCAGAAAGTGAGACAGTAGGCTTCCGAGTGTCCCTGAAATACAACAATACCAGCATAAGCATACATACTGTTCTCTCTCTATTCAGGTTAGTGCCTCTCAATTTTTGCTTCTCCAACTTAAAACTGAAGACACAGAGTTCTTACACTCAGTAAGTTTTGCATTTTGAGGGTAACAAACTTCACTCATTTTGACCAGTAACAGGTGATACAGAGAGGCAACAGCATTACTTGCCTCCAGATAAAGCTGGACAGAAGAGGGCCAGGCCAGGAAACTATGCAGAGACAGAGCAGGCAATCTTCTCTGCAGTTGAGGACTCTGAGCTTTCATTAACAGTTTAATTAACTGGGTTCCCCCCCTTTTTTCTTTTTTTCTATTATGTTTTATAATAGAAAAAGGGAGGGCGAGGTATAAATAAATAAAAATAATAATAATTATTATTATTATTAGCTGAACATTTCTCACGGCAATGAATTTGAAAATGACTGACCTAGACGGATAGCAAATCATTCAGCCACCCCCAGCTCCCACAACTGAAGCTCAGCTGCATGGTAGCTTCTGCACAATGGGGGGGGGGGTAACTATGCTAGTGAGACAAAGTGCAGAATGCACAGGGGCCTTACAAGCTTCTGGGGTTTCTAGATCACTTGACTGGGGAGTGCTCCTTCATGATCCCAAATATGAAAGAGCAAAACCCATTCACCAAGAGGATATTACTAGGGACAGCTTCACCCTTCCAAACTATCCTGCTTCAGTGGCAGCAGTCCAAAGTGCCACACGGGAATTTGCTCCCGTAAAGACCAGCAGTATCTTCCCCGATGTGGCTCTGCACTTACTTGATATCCCAGATGTAGATGTATGTGTCAACCGAACTGGTAACCAGCAGGTCTGGCTCAAAAACTGCCCAGTCCAAATCACTAGAAAAGTTGCAAAAAAGGGAAGGGGGGGTGAGCATCAGCAAGAGGGATCTATCTTGGACAGCTGCAAACACCAGACTCTGCATGGTCATTAGTAACTCTCTCGTTCATTGCCTTCTTAACACAATAGCCCACTGGCCAAGTTTCACAGCTCCAAAGACCAGCTTTTCCAGAGACAGAGGGAGCTTTAGCTACATGCCCTTTGCTCATTTTACTGGCCACTGTATTTCTCTAGGGCATAGGTAGGGAACCTCCAACCCATGGGCCAAAGGAAGCTCCCAGGACCTTCCCCAGAGTGCTTTGGTTTGGCTAAAATGTGATCTTGAAATATAATACCTCCTGGAGGATGGAAAGGAGTTTGTGGATGTGTGGGTGTGGGTGGGTGTAAAACTCACTTTTGTGTGGCTGGAATGTAGCACATTGTACAAAAGGCAGGAGTCACATCTGCTGATCCACCCACTTTTACCCCTGGTTCCATCCACCATTGGATTGTGTCCACCTCATCCCACAAGATTGCCCGTGAGCTTAAAGATGTTCCCTACCACAGCCCTGGAGCAGAAGGTTCTACAGAAACAAGATCCATGATGGAAAACAGTGTTCCTGAAAAACAGCTAGCCCACTACTACTGAGATCTCCCTATAACACAGCCACAGAAAGAGCAATATTGCTTAACATCTGCATGATGCTTCCTATACGTTAACACCCTGCAAGGCACATCGGTATTATTATCAGCCATATTTCAAACAGGGAGGCTGTGACCGAGAGTGCTGTTTGCCTAAGGTCACCTATTGAGCTCACGGCAGAGGTGAGATTCAAAATGGAGACTTCAGGACCTGTAGCCCAGTCCCTTAGCCCTTAGGCTACCCCAGCTCCCAACAGAATTTGTGTCCTGGAATATTCTTCTGAATCCTCCATAATGCAAAGCAGTTTCACAGAAAACAAACTGGCATGCAAAGAGGTAGAAAGTTTGAAAAGCACAGCTCTGGGGACTAGGGGAGTTCCAGCCCACCAGAGGAAAAACACCCTGTTGCTGCTGAGACCATCATTTAATCAGGAAGAGAGGGGGATGCTTAATCTTCTTCTCCCTCTAATTCACTGCATGAATATTGAAAATATGTCCAGACAAACTCAGGATTTACTAAGCTGGAATATCTGGACATGTCCGCAGACAGTTGGTTAGACTGTGGTGCTGATAACGCCAAGGTTGCAAGTTTGATCCCAATAAGGGACAGCTCCATAGTCCAGCACTGCAGGGGGTTGGACTAGATAATCGTCAGAGTCCTTTTCAACTCTGATTCTATGAGCCCAAAGTTACTGCAGCAGTGACTGATGCACTTCATGGACTCCAAGCAGGGAGGGCCAAAAGGGGGCCTTCAGAGGGGGAAAGGGGGGGGGGGTCCAAGCATCAAGCTCATCACATCAGGACTGAAATTCCCAACACCATGAGCCAGTGTGCAAGGCTCACTGGCCCGCATGACAATGGAGTGCGCTAGGGCTCCCCAGGGCCGTACCTGATCACACGTGTGTGCCCTTGCAAGGAAGTGCCAACTTCCCCATTACCATCTTTCCATTTATACAGGTCAACTCGTTGGTTGCTCTGAAATTAAACAGAAGACATGAGAAGCCACAACACGGGCAGCAGAGTGCTATGTAGCTACAAAAGTGCTCCCTAGCATTGGAACACTCCACCACCGTTTAAAATCAGCAGGAAAGGCCCTGCTCTGGAGCATGTCAACAAGAGAAACTAGCTAGCCAGCATCTTTGCTACAACAGCTCTTCCTCCCTCCCTCCCAGCCACACCACCCCCAAGAGTCTGAAATGAAATCCCCACAGAGATGCATCAATGCACCACCCATTTAATTTTTCCTAAATGATGCAAGACAACTTACGAGAATTGATTTGGCTGCTTTAAGTTCTCCTTTATTTACACCACCTCACCTGTTTTTAATGGCTTGCTGGTTCGTTTTGATCCTCAGAATGCTTTACTGATTCTGAAGTTTGTTAGTTGTCTTGATCATCAAATAAAGTTTAACATAAACAAATTGTGCTTTGGTTCACACATCACATGAAACCATCGTTTTAAAAAAAAAACTACAGTTTAATATGAACAAGCAGCATGTGAACTGCTGAAAAGCTTTTGCTCTACTCATTTCCTGCTCAAAACTGGACTTATGGTTTGTTTCCCTTCTGAGGCTTATTTTTTCTTATGTTCTTATGACTGCAAATCTTCTAGATGACCATTTTGGGAAAGAGGAGTACCCTTTCCCACCAGAAAACATGTTTAACTTTTCACACAACCAAGAAAAGTTAGCATTTGTAAGAACACCCAATGCAACTACTCCACTGCAAACCCTTGAAGCATCCTGATTGACAGGATAAAAGGGGCAATATAGAGCCATTAACTGTGCTGCCTCCAATCCCTGTCCATGAATGAAGATGTCCTGGCCACATACACACACATGACTTGGGATCATGTCCAATGTTACATTTCCCTCACCAAATGTTTAAAATGCTTGGAGGGAGGTGGCTAGAAGAGAGCTGAATATGTGTTTTTATGTGTAACACTGAAAAGGGCCAGATGTGGGCAAGCTTCCAAGAAGTTCTGTGGAATTCAAGCAGCCTGTCCCAAGAACTGAAAGGGGCTGATTATTACAGGTTGATTGCATAGTAAAGGGGTGTGTGGAATAAACATGATTGTTGCTATTGTTATTTCCGTTTAGGGTACCACGTACGGAAAGGTGGGACTCTGAACACTAGCATAGCCCCGTTCCCACAAGCTAGTTGGACAGATTTGTTGCACTCCTGGGATCCAGTTGGGAGGAAATGTAATCACAGGATCAGGGCCAGCATGGAGCATACCGATGCAGCAAAGTAGTGTGAGTGACTGTCATGCGGGTTCCACTGCACAGCTCCTATGTCCCACTTGCTCTGGCGCGAGATCTTGCGGTGGCCATCAGAAGGTGAATCTAAGTTAACAATGTAGAGGAAGCGGCGCCTGCAAGAGATAGACACACACAAAGAAGACATCAGCAGCATCACACTGGAACCAGCCTGTGAATTGCTGCACCTATGATTTCCAAAGCACCAGAAGAATAGAGCACAGTCGACCACCTACAAATTCCATCTTCTTTCTGAAACTGCTTGGTGGGGGTAGATATTTATCAATGCTGGTCAAAATGGGCTAAGCTACACTCCATCATGAGTGGAGGGCAGATTTTGCTCCCATGAACAGCTCAGACTTTACCTGAAAGCAATGGGTGGCAGCCACTTAATTCAAGGATGGTTCTGAGGCTGGAGATAAACTTTCTTCCCAATGACCCCAGCCCCTGGTAAACAAGCTAAGCTTGATGGGATTCTGCTATTCAGTCACACCAGAGTATTGGGAACCTCTAAGGTCCATGAGGTTGAGCGAGAACCATGCAGCATCTCTTGTTAAGCTTCACAGCCATGACCAAAGATCTGAATCTGGACCTCCTTGCTCAGCACTCCTACCACAACCCTACACTGGCTCTGCGACATAAATCATGAAACATTAAAGTGAAAGAGATGCAAATTAAAGACAGCCGTGAACAAGAGGACGTTAACTTTGCTGCTGCAGAACTTCACAACAGCAAAATCCTATATGACATATTCCAGGCCAGGCTAATGCAAACTGCCTTAGTTGGACACCAGGCTGGCTGGCCTGGTTCCTCCAAGGGGAGGCGCTGGCTGACAGCAATGTAAGGCTACATGGTCAGACGGCTTAAAAACAAAGTCCTACACGGTGTGTGACATTGCGCCAGTGAGAGACTGACAGGGAGGGCAGCTAGATCCACCACCAAGGAATGCCTCCCAAGAGGCTTAAAAATATCACAGAATATGATATGGAGACAACTATGTCCAACATTCCTTTCTCAGTCAGGATGTCGGCCTAGTTTCTGCAAAGAACGGAAGGGAGTGTAAACATGTGTCTGGTGTGTATCACTTCAGACTACAGGTGGAGCTGACATGACTGAATGCTCTTTCCATGCAAACGAGTAAGTCAAGGCAAATGATCCCAACCAATTCTATGCATGGGGCTTTTGGAGAAACAAAAAACCCTGTATGGAAGAAGCAGCCTTCCAGTTAGATGAACTCATACCAGTCATCCTGAAACAGATTTACTGCCTCGTCTGTGGATTGCAAGAACTAGGTCACAATTTAGATGCTTGCCTGGCTTGAGAGGCTGAAATCAATCACAGATTTTTGACCACAAGATTATTCTATCACGCCAGCCTTTACCTAATAAAAAATTAATTTGAACGCGCTGTCACGTGGCAAAAGCTGGCATTCACCACCTATGGTATATTCACTGAAAATAAGCTTGTGTCCAGATGATAAGCACTGCATTCTATCAGGGGCAGGCACATTTGAATAGAATATTTACCACAAGGATAATGTGGTCACATCAAAATATAAAATGAGAGTTACGAAATATCACTCTGGGAAGGGAAGAAGGAACAGGCATGAACCCCCATGCAAAGTAAATGTCCAGAGACTTAGAAACAACCTGGGGAACGGCTGGGTGCAAAGCTGCACCAACTTTGTTCAGATACTCTGCCAGTACTCTCTCAGTTCATTTTTTCTTTTTTCCTTACTGTTTTTATTGAAAGTTTTTCATGGATAGCAAAGGTACATATAGTGACTACGTTTTCAGTTCATGGAGTCCTATCTACATTTGGTGTGAGATAATGCTATCATAGGCATTGTGAGGATTGGGCAGGGGGGGGGAGAAAGAGGTGGGGAGAGAGAGGTGGGAGAAAGGGGGTAATGCTTTTTTCTTCTTTTGCATAGTATATGTGCATGGTTTTTGTGTCACTGTCATGTGGATAGGTTCTGCATCTATTTGTTTATTAATTTTCGTTGGTAGTGGGAGAGATTGAGGAGCCCAGGGCATGGCTGGTTGCATTCAATTGATTGAAGTGAGGGGTGTGTGGGTGCGTAAGGGGATTCTATGCTGTTGGAGGATTTATGTTGGTATCTTGTTGAGCTGTGTATGAAATAAAGGGCAGCCACGCTAGAGTGAAGGAATCCTTTTGTTTGTCCCCATTCTAATTTCAATTTTTTTGATGCCCTGACCTGGCATGGAGGCGGCAGGAGGGACAGGGTTGGTGCAAGTGCAATCAATCCACATCTACATGTAGAGAACTAATGTCTGCATAGGGCATTAGGGAAAGAAACAGCATACAAGGATGAAAAGAAGCATGAAGGTTAGACTTTGGCAAACACACAAGCAGGAGGACATCAGATAATCAAATCAGCAGAAGTTGAAGGTCACTGAACAGAGCTGAATACATGCAAGATCGGATTAGGGATAAGACTGAACAAGGCTTCAAACATCAGCAACATGGAAAAGAAACAGTGTGGGGAGAGGCAAAGTGTAAGACTCAGAAGTCAAGGCCTCATGATTTTGGATCTGAGCAGTGACCTGTGCCTCAGTATGTTTTTTTAAGACTTTGCCAAAATGAATTGCATCTCATTAAAAAAAATCTGCTGAGAGGGAAAATATGCCATAGACTCAGCATGAACAAAGTCTTTCTTCATACAACATATAATTGACATATGGAATTCAATGCTACAAGGTGTAGAAAACGTTAGTAACAGACTGGTTTTTTAAAAGTTTACAACCGCCTCCCCCACCTCGAAGTTTCAGACTACAGCTCTCATAGTCCCAAGCTATCATGGGAGTATTGATGCTGGGGCTGATGGGAACTGTAGCCCAAATCCTTTGGAAGGGGCTAGACTGGGAAAGGCTGGTATGTACAAATTCAAGGAGGTTAGGTCTTATCAAAGGCTATTAGCCCACAACAACTAAACGGAGCTTCCGCCTTGAGAGACAGTGTGCTTCTAAATAGGACATCCTGACAGCAATCAGTGGGGTGGGGTGGGGGTTGCCTTCATGCTTTGTTTCCCAAAAGAGGCTTTTGAATGGCCAGTCATGAAAACAGGACATTAGACTGAACAGATCCTAGAGTCGGATCCAGGAGGGGTCTTTTATGCTTTTGGCACTTGAACTTATGCTATCAATCTCTTCTCTTCTGCCCCACTGAGAATGTGAAGCACTAGGAAGAGGAAGAACATCAACCCAAGAAGATGTGTCCATCTTCCCTCCATGTCCACCTTCAAGCAGCTGCCAGGGCTAACTGGAATTCTATCCCAAAGGTGTTGGCACTCACCCAGAAAGCACTGCATGCTGCCCAAGACAGTCCACGGACATTGCAGTTGCCTGCAAAATAGGAGAGAGAAAGAAATAAGGTCCCTCACATTAGCTTAGCTTGTCGATACATTCATTGCTTAGGAAAAAGAAGAAAATGTTAGGTTGGAAAATTTGGTGGTGGGGAAAAGAGATCACTAGAGTCAACCTGATAGGGATGAAATAAACCTGATTAAACACACAATTAGGAAGGAGAGCTACACACACTTACTAGAGAGTAAGTCCCACTGACAACAACAGGATTTACCTTCACGTGGGCATGAGTAGGGTTGCACTCTAAGGAAAGAAATTCAATTTAGAGCAGAGGCAAGTGAGCTCTTGCCTGCAAATGCACAAATCACATGCTCCAAAGATACTGAGATTTAAATATATATACTCAATATGCTTAAATCCAAGCATACCCAATTTAAAGGGCTGCAGCCCCTCTTCACGCCAAGGGGGTTTTTTTGTCCCCGTTTTGCAAGTTCCACATAAGAAATGGAAGCAAAGAAAAGGGAAGGGCTGTAAAATGGTACTAGTTGTTACTATTAAAAAAATAGTTATCATGAAAAACTAAAAAGGATTACGACATTTTGGTTGAAAACAACCTTTTTCAGGAGCACTGGGGAAAAACAAGCACATTTGCAAACCAAAGTACACACACAAGCACAATGGAAAAGCCTGTGATAAGAACCTGTAGTAGACAAGACATATCATAAAACCTAAAAGCGCTAAAGGCTTTGGTATGCAGCCTGGGAATGCTATTTGATTTGCCGTTATCCCTTGAAACTCAAACAACCTGAGTGGCAGGAATGACCTTCTAAAACTGAGCATAATACACTGTGTCCACCCCCTTCCCCAGGAAAGAGATAGCCTTGCCAGTTATCCAGTTATTCAAGGCAGGATTGCTGCAATGTGCTCCCCTTGAAGACTGTTCAGCAGCTACAGCTAATCCAAAAGACCTGCCATGCTCTTCAAAAAGTGATTTGCGGGGTGTCAATCATTTGGTCAACACTTTAGCTTAAAGCTAGAGCTCTGCTGTGCTACCTTGTCTTCAAACCAGTAACCCAACTTCTATTTGGGTGCTGTAGTGAAATTTAGCATAAAGCTTTTAATCCAACAAGCAAGTCAATACTGGAGTCCAAGTTCTGAGTCCACCAGTAAGACCTAGTATAGTAGCTCTGTGGGAAAGCATGCAGTAGGTCCCAGGTTCAGTCCCTGGTGTGTCCAGGCAGTGCTGCATAAAGACCCATCTCAGATTGGAGAACCACTGTCAGTCAATGTAGACAATACTAAGCTAAATGCATCAGTGGCATAACTCGTTATCTACCTAACAAGCATCACATCCTGCACCCCAGCTGCTTTGCTGCAAATTGGCAGTGAATCAAGGCAGGAAAAGAGCAGCTACTACAGTCTTTTGGTAGTACTCTTCCCAGAAAGGCATAGACAAATGGAATAAGCCTGCAATGCAAACTCAGTAAACTTGTTTTAATAAAAGCACTTGATCTGCAAGCATATTGCACTGCTCGATAGCAATCTACCTTGAAATGAAAGAGACTACCTTGAAATAGACTACCTTGAAATGAAAGAGAAACACCATGAAAGGCAGCCAGTGATTAGAAGCAGATGAAATGCTTGCCTTTCCAGCCTCTCTTTGCTGTGCTTCTACACTGTCAATGTGACAGACTAGGTCAGTAGGTAAACACAACAGCTGTTGGGAGGAATGGAGAGAAAGATGAGCTCAGTTCTGGAAGGAGAAATTCCAGCATCAGAAAATGCCTAAAGGGCTTGGCCTTCTGGGAAAGATTTCTTCATGACCTCTGAAAGTCTGCCCAGAGCCAAACAACAGCAGAATCTCCTTCAAGTGGGTCCTTGGGGCATCCATAATTGCTCCCATTATAGAAATACCTGCTAGCAGGCTTGCACTGAAGCAGCTGCAAAGCTTGCAAGGAATCTGGAGCCACTACAGGACTCCAGCAGCTCGGTAACAATTTTTCTCAAAAGATTCACACATCTCTGTTCCTAGAGCCCAGCTAGGCTCCATGTTCCTAGAGCCCAGCTAGGCTCCAGTTTTTGGAAAGCAGAGATCCAATTGCTGTTATCCCTCTGATTCCTGCAAGGTCTTTCCTGATTGAGATTGTTATCTCTTTTGAATGTTTATGTACCCCACCTTTTGATTGAAGGGTCCTCAGGGTATTTGTTTCTCAATAGCATAAATGTGTATGCATTTACTCCTAGAGTCTTGGAAGACTAGGATTCAACAAGCAAGGATCCCACATGCTGGTCTATACTATCAGATGTCATCATGATGCAATTAAAAAGGCTTCATTGCATACTTTGCTGCAATCAAATATTGACAAATAATAGATAGTCAACTGACCACCATCCTAATCCTAGTAAAAATAATTATTAGTACACCATCTGCACACATATTTCCATGAAGTTTAACTACTTCCATACCCCCTCCAGTTTATGTGCAGAAAAGTATTGTGACTTATGTATTGGGGATGCTGCACTTGAAAAGCCTTTCAGGAAGAGAGTTTGCCTGTCTTATTCCATAACATACTGCACAGATACCCCTCAGTAGATATATCCATTATTCTATGTAATGAATTTGTTCCCACAACAGTAATATTCTGAGACGAGGGGCTTCCACAAAGGGAGCATTCACACGTATTCAAGAGTTTTCTAGGATGTGGAGGAGAGATATTTTATTTTTATTTATTTATACGTGCCTCTTCTCGTGCTCCTAGTTGCATACTTAAGCCTCATTTCAAGTAGAACAAGATGACAGGAGAAGTTCCCATACCCTGAACCATTCTGCAAAGAGCACACATCCTGCATGGGTCTCATCTAAGCCTGGACAGGTTAAACAGAGTTGTCCAAAATTCCTGTCAAGTACTGTCTGCTGCAGTCAGATACAATAGTGCTGAAGTGCTAAATGATGAAATGGCATGTTTAGTCTGTGCTTCTTCCAACACTAAATGCAACCTTTTAAAGTATGTAAAAAAAAGGCCCTGTTGGAACAGACCAAAGGCCCATCTAGTTTAGCATCCTGTTCTCACAGAGGTCAATCAGATAGACCATGGGAAGTCCATAAGCAAAACCCAATAGCAACAGCACTGCTTCCACTTGGGTCCCAGTAAATGGTATAGAAAGATAAACTGACTCCAACAGCAGTCACAATGGAACATGAGATATGACACAGCTGCCAAGAAGGTTGCATGCTAGATGTCGACGACGATTCTGTTTCCACCAGTCAGCTTTGAAAGTAGGCACTGGTTAAGTGCAGCATGCCTTCAATCTCTTTATAAGAAACACAATTACACTTATTTTACATTACTTTAGAAGTGGCACTCCCCAACAGTTGTATAGAATAAATTAGCACGAACAAGCTATATTCATAGAAACTGCCTACGGCATACCCCAATGCAATATTCAGGAAGCATTAACTACAAATGTCAAATTTCCTCAAACTATTTTTAAACCAATCAGTACGACAGATCGCTGTATCTTTGTGTAAATTCAGTTCTCACATGACAAGCTTTCGATTTTTTGAAACTGAACAGCAGACCACAATCACTTCACCATCTACAAGATGGAAACGACGGCAACTTACTGTACAAGGATGCTGTAGAAGTTGAGCACATTACAAACAGAATTTTCAGGTGGTACAGAGATAACACACTGGTAAAGGGTCTCATTTTAGCTGCAAAACTATTATTGCAGCTCTATAATAACAGCTTCAGAAATGAATTAATAAAAACTACCACTATTGGGAAAAGGAAGCTTCTTTACCCTCCACCCAAAATAGACACCCATCCATCTAGCTATAAGCAGAAGCCCAGATATTCCCCCTTGGCAACAACACCAATAAGAGGAGTAGACAAGGGCACATTATTCACCACTGAATAAACTTTCAACAGTTACTGTCCCTGGCTTAAGAGGTCTCGGGGCTGGAAGTAAGTGATACTATCTGCCCAAAGAGTAGCATCCTGAGTGGCACCACAGGAACATCTGATAGACTCCATACAGCAAGGATGGGGAGCCTGTGGCTCTCCAGATGTTGTTGGACTACAACAAGAAACAACACTACACGAAGGCAGACATTAACCCCACTATGTGGAAATTCCTTGTAGACTACCACAGTGCCTGGAGTCAGGTCACATATCCACAGCAGTGACCAGATGAGAAATGACCACTGGGAGGAGCAGAGAGAAGAAACACCATGGTGCATTTATAACAGTGAAACTGGATACCTTCATCTGCCCCGGCTGCAATAAAGCATGTATCTCCTGTATTGGCGTCTACAGCTACAGGAAATAACTATGCAACAATTTGACTTCACCCCCAATGGCACACTCTTCCATTGTCTCTTGTCTTGAGACAGATGCCAACAAGAAGAAGAAAGGAGATTCTGACTAAGCATCAGGAAGGGCTCTCTGACAGCAAGAGCTGTTTGATGGTGGAACAGTCTCGCTTGGAAAGTGGTGGACTCTCCTTCACTGGAGGTTTTTAAGAGGAGGTTGGATGGCCATCTGCCATTGATGCTTTAGCTGAGATTCCTGAATAACAGGGGATGGCCTAAACAATCCTCAGCGTCCCTTCCAACCTTACAATTCTATGATTGCGTGGCGAGTTCCCGCCCCCCACCAGGATAAATAAAGACACGAGACACCATAGTTTAAGGTTAAATGGGCGAATTAGGCCACAACTTTATTGAATTCAGGAATGAGAGGCATTGGCTTAGGCATTGGTCCTAACGACTATCCGGCTCCAGCCCACTTGCTGGAGACACGGGGAAGGGTTAACACTATATCGGGGGCGTCTCCCGCTGAGGCACGTCGACTAGGAGCTCCCCCGAGTCACCGCTCTGGGGCGTGCCTTTGGCCCACACCTCCATAGGCTTCAGACAGGGCCACGCCCCCCGGAGTCCTTTAACGGACCACCCTTCACTCACTGGGGGGAGGTGATGGCGTTCCTCCCCCACACACATCCTCTTAACCCCTTCTTACCAATGCCTACCGCCACACGAGCAATTGCTCGCCGCCAATACTCTCATGCCTGAAACCAATCCCTTACCCCTTTTGCTATATCAGTCAGCCACATGTCATTTCCCGCCTCTGAAGATGCACGCCATCAAGCCAAATATCATTTCCCGCATCCGAAAGATGCACGCCATCAAGCCGGTAGAGGGCCTCGCAGTTGCCTGGGTGGTCAATGACCCACCCACCCAGGGCTGCCACTCTACGCACCACCGCCCGATCCAAGGCTTTCCTAGCCCTATTTATGGCTATCGGGCACCTGCTCTCTCTCCAAACCCAGCTTTCCATCAACAAGGCCCCAAGAATAGTGGCTGGGACCAGTAGGAATCCAAGTCCAACATCTAGAGAGCCACATGCTCCCTATCCCTGACTTAGAGGACTCTGAAAAACACCTGTCCTTTCCCCCGCCACTTTTCAAAGAAACACAGAGTCAAGAATCACATGCTGTCAATGGCCGGAACCACTGGAAGCACCTACTGTTCCAGAGGCAGGGAGGCTTGTTGGCCTAATTAATCCCAGAGACTGCAGGTTGGCTTTTGTGAGGATGCTTGCCTAGATGAACCATTTGCATGATACACCGGGGTGTTTCTTGTGGGGAGAAGGAGACAGGTGGGTCCTGCAGCACTAACAAAATTAGTTACTATGGCATACGTTTCCTGAAAAGTGGGCTTAGATCCACAAAAGCTTATGCTGCAATACAATGATTTTTTTGGTGGACCACCTGAAAATTGCTGAGGTTTTTGGTCAGAGCGCTTAATAATCTTTTTTGCTGCTGTTCTACAAATCAAAGTATATAATGTTTTAATAACCACAATTGAGCCTTTCTAGGAAGATGAGTGAAGAAAAATAAAAACACTTTTTCTTCAATACCAGCACCGTCATGAAAAACAGCACCTTATTTGTTGCGTAATTCTGAAGTTAGTTCTTTCACTTGTTCTACCTCCACTGTTCCATGTCAGCTGCTGGGAATCCCAAGTGAGAAGAGTTGCTGTTGCACTCAGGTCCTGCTTTCAGGCTTCCCTTTGAGGCATCACATTGACCACAAGGAGAACAAGATGCTAGACTAGTTTGGCCTTTGACCTGATGTTATTATGAAAAACATGGGCCCTGAACACCCCTTAAGCTGGCAAATACTTTCAGAAAAATTAGTAGACCTGGTATCCATCATCAGAAAAAAAGGTTATTAAGCTTATTCATGACCTTGTAGAAAAGCATCTAAAAGCAACGTACAGTATAAAAAAACCACTAAATACAAACTAAGGTCACATTACCATTTGAAAACCCCTCATACTGCTCTTTTTCTAAACAAGTTGCCCTTTCCATTCTATTGTACCTTCAAAAAATGCTTGCTGTAACAATCTTATGTTGAGAGCTTTGTGAGGTCTACCTAAAAAGTGGTATATACCGGTAACTACTGTAAATAAATGGGCCTCTTAGGTGACTACAGGACTCTTAGACCTTGACTACAGCCTTGAACACAGCTACGCTTAAGAAATTATGTTCTTAAAAACTCCCTACACACACACACACATACACTTGGGCTTGCCATCAAGTCTGCTGAAGGGTTCTGCAGAACTCGAATCTTTTGGCAGCGTTTTGGTTGGCCTGACAAAGAAAGGTGTTGCCCAAAACTGGATTTGGAAGTTTTCAGTTAAGGTGAAGCCAGCCCTCTTCAGCAAACCACGAAGGAAGGAGAGGCGCCCCAACTACACCAGAGGACGCCCCCCACCCCGTGTGACGCGTCAAGGGACATGGGTGCACCCCACCCATGGGTGGTAGGTAGGTAGGAACAGAGGGGGAGACAGCTGCTGCCCTCCCCCTCCCAGGAAAGAAACTTGTATGGGAAGGAAGAGACTGCAAAACAAAAGCCCCGCCGGCCATCCCGCTTCGGCGCAAGCCGAGGAGACTCGGTTACCTGCGAGTCCCGAAACTCCACCACAACATTCTCGCTACTCCAGCGCGCCGCCATCTTGGACTGCCCAGGAAGCAGCTGGAGCAAGGGACGCCGCAGGCGGGCGTGACGCAACGCGCGCCGCGCGCGAGGCCTGCCGGGAAATGTAGTCCAGCCTTAAGGAAGCCCGAGGAAGAGCGTATGGCTCGCCTGTAGCGTTTTATACGCTCCGGCGCCCCGCCCCACCTGCACTGTCTCCTCCAATAAAATAAAATAAAATGCAGCCTTCCCTTGCTTCTCGTTTTGGGACTGGGTGGGGTTAAAAAATACGTGGAGCCAATATTCAGTTTCTTAAATTGCAAGGGCTAAGGAAGTCACATCTTGTGGAAGCCAGATGTGCTGGGGTTGATTGGGAGTGGGGTGTACTTGCGGCATGCTCAGAAGCTCGTTTCCTCATATTTATTAAATTGTTAATTGGTCTCTTAAAGCCACTTTCCTGGTCCAGCTCATCCAAAGCGGCTTGCAACATTTTAATACCCCACAATGGCTGAACAATAAACTGGACAACCAATAAAGAAGCCAATGAAACGGCATGATTTCTAGGCAATAAAACAATATCACACGAGGGAGGGAGGGGTGAGAAGCCCAACACGATTCCCCAGGTTCGTTGGAAGCTGCGTTATGCAGTGTCAGATATTTGGTCTTACGTGAACTCGGGGATGTGGAACAGTGGAAGGCTTTAAAAGAGAACTGAACAAATTCATGTGGGATAAGGCTACTAATGGCTACAAGCCACAATGGCTATGCTCTGCCTACACTGCTGAAGCCACTGTGTCTTGGAAACCAGTTGCTGGGAGTTGCAGCAGGAGAGAGTGCCCTCGGGTTCAAATCTGGTTGGCATGTCGGCCACTGTGAGAACAGGATGTTGGACAAGATGGACCACTTGCCTGGTGCGCAGCATGCCTTTCTTATGTTCTTATGTCCCTCCAGCACAGAAAGATGCAGTAAAAGTATGTTCATATTACACTGGAGCAGGCTTATTTTACATTGATTTCTCTTAACAGTTGAAAACAAGCTCTGCTGTCTAGTGCCCCCTGGTACAAATGTTAAGCCCTGGGGGGCATTCAGTTCCCATCCATGATGAAGGGTTCTGAGATGCACCTGCTATCTACAGTAGCAAAACTCCAATAGAAGAGCTGTTTTATGTCGCAGCAGTGTCCCCCTCCCCTCGCAAAGAAAACCTGAAATTGGGCTTAATATTAGAGTATTAAGAATAAAAATTGCTCAGAGGAGCTCCACCCTGTAGATGCCTCTGAGACGTTAAGGTAGTAGGCGGCTTTGGAGTGGGCGCAGCTGCTCTATAAGCAAAAGAATTAAGTTTCAAAAGCAGGCAAATGAGACTATTGAACAGATCTAGGGTTGAGATCCATTGGGCCACCCCCTAAGTACACCCCTGGTTATGGTTCACACTGGAGAAGAGGAATTTAAAGTGTTATGTGCTAATGTTCAATGTTGTTGTCCCCCCAACACTGGCTTACTGCTGCACATGGTCACTGTGTTAAAAACCAGTGAATCTTTACTTTGATCAATGAATTCCACAAGCTGATTATGGGTGTTCCAGACATCCTGTTCATTGAGGATCCATCCTGATTTGTTTGCAAAGGAGGCCAGATGGTCATTTACTGAGCAATCAGCCATTTGGGGGGGGGGTGCTAGGCAGTGGCTGCGTACACACCATACATTTAAAGCACATGGCTTCGCTCAAATAATCTTGGGAACTATAGTCTGCCCTCTGCAGAGCTACAATTCTCAGCACCCTGAACAAATAAGTTTCCTCAGAATTCTTTGGAGCAAGTAATGTGCTTTAACTGTGTGCTAAATGTATGGTGTGTACATGGCCAAAATTGCGTCAAGCAAACGTTAGCCTGCACTTTCCAGAGATTTTCCCCATCACTTTCCTTAACTCAAAAAGTCTGGTCTTTTGAGGGAAGCAGGTTTCTTGCACAAGACCTCCCAACCAACTGTAATTGCATTGCCTGAATTTGCCAGTATGTGACGGAATCCCACTAAAAAAAAGTGACAGACTGGGGAGTGCCCTATAAAAAGAAAATGAGGTTCTGCACGCAGATGGCAGTTGTGGACATGGACAATCTATTTCCTCAACTTTCTACAACTAGGTGCATTCCAAAGAGCAACCCTATCATTGGATGTTGGGCTGCAAGGCTATCGGCCTGAATATAAAGATACAGGTTCAAGCTCGCTTCCTTTGCATCAGGTGAGCTTCCCAACCAGCTAGATGAGCTTTCTAGCTTTTCTGCTATATGTGTCAGTGGCTATTTTTAGAGCCCTCTTGGGCATAGAAGTGAGCCTGGAATAAGATCATTGGAAAAACAGACAAAAGGTGGGTTTCCTCTCTGCCATCAGCACTGTTAGGCACAGCTTTAGCAGAATCCCTTTCTTACCTTCTGTACAGAGCGCTTTATGCAACTCACTGTGAATTTGCTGGACAGAATTTGGTCCTTTATGCATTCATACTCTGGCCCTAAAGTTCTGGGGTCTACTAAACAAATCTGGGAGACTGGCCATCATGGTTGACTTGGGCACAACTAGGCAGAAGGTAGATTTGCAGTAGATCAACAAGGATTCTGACTCTTAACAGCCCCAAAATGACCTCGGGGGGGGTCATATATGTGGAAAGACACTTAATTCAGTTCTGATACCCTAGTTCCTGGCCACAAATTGCAAGTCAGGGGAAGTGAATATGGTCCTTACATCTTGTTGGATTTCTCTTATTAGCTCTAGCCAGCATAGTCAATGGTCACGGATGATGGGAGTTGTAGTCCAGCAGCATCTGAAGGTCACTTGAGGTTATAGTGAAAAATGATGTAGAATTTGCAAGCTGGAAGTCTTCCCAGCCATGTTTTAGCATAATTGTCAGTGTGAAGAGTGCACTTACCTTGCACTTTTATGAGACTCCCCTAAAACACTGGAAAGAATGGCTGTGTCCTTGCTACAGGACTGCGGAGAAATGCTAGATGAAATTTGAGAATATATACAAGGAGCACAATACAAAATGAAGTGCAAAAAATATGGGGGTAGAACAGGATAGGTTATGCATCTGTGGCTTCATCTTAAGAATATAATCTTCTGGGGATGGTGGTGGTATATAAATAATAATTGATTCTGTGTACTTGTGTGTGTGTGTGTGTGTGTGTGTGTGTTAGTACTAGAAAATAAGAAAGTGTTCAAGAGATGTGAGAGATATGTATGAACTCCATTTTCAAAGGCCAAGAGGGCTGTCTTCTGTCCTTGTTCGCACCCAGTGTTTCACACCACACATGATCAATAGTGCAATCCTATACAAGTCTACACAAAAACTCCCATTAAGAACAAAGGGATTGACTTCCTAGTAAGAGGGTATAGAATTGCAGCCTAAAACTCAGGAGCACCTATAATAGCTGGTCAACTACTTAGCTCTGCTATTTTTCGCTATTCTTATTAAATATCAAATTCCCATCTGCACTAAATATGCATTTCCAAAAACCTGACTGTTTTATATTTGTGCTTATAAAATTCCTATTTATTATGTGATTTTTTAAAAAAGTCTCCCCAACAAATGTTTGTGTAACACAATGAAGCACACATTTGCTTGAAAGTAAGTCTCACTGCAGTTTCAAATAGAGTACCAAATTATTTTGTAGCCATCTTTGAAAAAGAAACCCAAAGCAGTCCTGGGACCCTTGGTGTGAATCAACCCGCCTCCCCATGGCAGGACCTAGGATGTGGTCAGATGGCACAGAAAGCCACCATAGTTCCTGAAGCTAAGCTGGTTTGGGCCTGTTTGGTACCTGGATGGGTGATAACAGGTATGCTTCTTTGGGCTCCTTGATGAAAGAAAGGTGGAAAATAAATGTAGAAAGTATCATAAAATCAAAACCCTCTTAGGGCCACCTAAGAGTGTAACTGGGAGCTGTATGATGGAATGCAGTATAGCTTCAAATCAAACAACATCGCTTAATATCTGAGAACCTGCTCCTCTTGTTCCTTATGACTTCAATAATTTTATTTATTTCATAAAATTTTTACATCGCTTGATAGTAAAAAACTTCAAAGTTGTTTACAAAAAGATAAAAGAATCAAGTCAAGAAAAATGTCCCTCCCCCACTATAGGAGTCAGTAACCTCTGGAACATCCGAAATAACTCCGCTGGACAGCTACTAGAAGACGCAATGCAAGCTGCAAAATGAGAATTCTTTGCAGCTCGCACTACCACATGGTAGGCACAAGGTTAGGCACAAGCGAGACTTGGGCCACTTGTGTTCCAGTCTTCATCCAGCCTGTTTCAAAGTCCAGAGCTCCTCAGAATACCAAGGGGCTAGTTGCTCAGACTCCAAAATGCCAGAGAGGATGCTCAAGAACGATTGTGTCAGCCACCCATTTCAGCTTGCTATTCTATCGCAAGACCAGGGTTTCACCAGGACCGCCAGCTTTCTCCACTGGAAAATCCCCCAGAGCATTCAGGAACACATCAGGTTCCACCAGTCTCTGAGGGTGGGCTGTCCTAATGGGCCCACCACACTTACAGGGAGGAATTGCTGTTGTCAGTCCAAGCATAACCAGATAAGGGGCTGACCATGACAAAGGTGTACATCGCATTTCTCCTATCTTCAGTCCATCCCACATATTACTAAGGGCAAAGATCATATCAAGGTGAGTCCTGCCTGGTGTGTTAGGCTGTTGACCCTTTGAGAGAGACCCACAGTTGTTATGGGTCTCAAGCTTGTCCAACAGCAGCCTGTGTGGATACTGAAGTTGTAGCATCCTCCAGGAACACCTCAGCTAGCTAGATCAGGGTTGCTGCTGGGTAATAGGGCAGTCAGTTAACCAGCAGCATCCCTGATCTGTCTTTCTGGCCCAACACCAGGTGCAGACAGTGTAAGCGCATCCCAAGGTCAAGAGGCTTCCTGGTGAAGGAGATGGTGCTCCTATAGACAATAGCAACATCCTCGCCTTGACCCCTTAGTCTAACCTGGTGCAGTACCAAAAACCCAGGTGGGTATATGTAGGTCAGGTTAGGTCCATCCAGCTCACTCACTCAAGTCTCTGTAATGCAAGAGAGA